GGAGGAGGCTGCAATGCTTGGTAAGAAATGTATGCATTATCCTGCCCATGTAATTGTAACCCCTCTGTACAGTATGTTCACAAATAAAATAAAATTAAAAAAAAAAGAATTGCAAAACCATGGCCAGGGTGCCCATATCTCAGGCTTGTAATCCTAGGTACTCAGGAGGCTGAGATCAAGGGATTGTGGTTCAAAGCCAGCCTGGGTAGGAAAGTCTGTGAGACTCTCCAGAAGTGGAGCTGTGGCTCAAGCGGTAGAGCACCCGCCTTGAGTGAAAAAGTTTAGGGGACAGTGCCCAGGCCTTAAGCCTATCAGCCAAAATTGTTTTTGCAAAATGAGATTCCTCATTTTGAGTTGTGGGGTTTGAACTCACGGCCTGGCCCTGAGCTCTTTTGCTCAAGGCTAGTGCTCTACCACTTTGAGCCACAGCTCCATTTCTAGCTTTTGAGTGGTTAATTGAAGATGAGAGTTGCATGGACTTTCCTGCCTGTGTTGGCTTTGAACCATGATCCTCAGATCTTAGCCTCCTGAGTAGCTAGGATTATAGACCTGAGCTACTAGCGCTTGGCGCCTCCTGCCTTTTAACTAAATGAAGCCTCTGTGTTGAAGAGCCCCACACAGGTCCTGTCACAAAGGAAGAGCTCATTGAGTTGTGTCATGTACACCCTGTAAGGGCAGTCCAGGTAGCCAGCACCCAGCCCTCAGTGCTGTGCTAGTCCAACTTGTTCTAGTCCAACTTGTAAGTATAGGAAAACCTGAGGAGGCCTCCTCAGCTGGAGTTCTGGGTCATGTCCAAAGCCGCTGGGTGTGCTGAGAGTTCCAACCCCATTGGGGAAGTAGCCTGTCATGGCTACTTCCTGTCCTGCATCCAGCGCATCAGTGATGTGAGCATCACACAGATCACCTCTGAAAAGAACAAGATGAATGCCCAGAAGAGAGCTGTCAGGGTAGAGGGACAGGCTGGTCAAGAAGGAGAAAGTAAGCCAGGTGCAGCAGCTCACACCTGTAATCTCAGCTACTTGAGAGGTAAAGTAGGGGGATCATCGTTGGAGGCTGTCCTAGCAAAGTGCGTATAGTCCCTACCTGAGAAACAAACTGAAAGCCAGCAAAATGGCTGGTGTGTGTGTGTGTGTGTGTGTGTGTGTGTGTGTGTATGAGAGAGAGAGAGAGAGAGAGAGAGAGAGAGAGAGAGAGAGAGAGAGAGAGAGAGTATAAGCTTGAGGCCCTGGGTTCAATTACCAGTACCACAAAAAGAAACAGAGAAAGTGACATGGTTCATGCATGCCCAAGTGTATGGGAATTGGAGCCATTCAGGCTTGCATTTGAATCTCAGCTTGGTCCCTTCTTAGCCTAAGGGCAGTGTTATCCTCTAGAGCTCCAGTTTGCAAACTCCAGCCTGGCGCCAATCCCCAGTGCAATGTAGCCATGCCCATTTCCTGCAGGCAAATCCCCAGCCTGGAAGGTAGCCACGCCCATCGGCACAGGGCTTGGGAGCTACTTTGGGTCTGGGGCTTCCTGCTCTGGAAACCCATGTGGTTGTAGAACTCCTCTCCATGAGGTTTGGGGTTAGTACAGGAAGTGATACTTGCAAGGCTCTTAGGAAATACTTAGTACAGAGTTGAGGGTTGGGTGCCTGCATTCAGGGGCTGCCACACACAACAAGGCAGGTTGACGCACTGCACAAGGCCAAGGCTTCAACTCCTGGGCGTGAACCACCTGTTAGCTGCTTGTAGTAATTACTGTTAATAAATCCCATTCCTAGGCCAGGGCCAAGTTTTTGCACTCTCCTTCAAAACTACCTTGCTTAGGTCAGCGGACCTGAAACTCATCTGCGTGTTGGGACTTTAAAGCTATTAATCATGCTGGGCCCTGGTGGCTCATGCCTGAAATCCTAGCTGCCCAGGAAACTGAGAGCTGAGGATCCTAATTCAAAGCCAGCCCAGACAGACAAAGCTGAGAGACTCTTATCTCCACTTAACCAGCTAAAGGCTAGAAGTGGAGGTGTGGGTCAAGTGGTAGAGTGCTAGCCTTGAGGGAAAAAGCTAAGCAAGAGTGAGGCCTGGAGATCAAGCCCCAGTACCTACATGAAAACAAAGCAACCCTTACTGCCCAAATCACCACCACCACCGCCAACAACACAAACCCAAGCTGCCTTGCTGGGGCAGTGTGAGTGTGCAAGCCTGTGAAGGTCGTTGGTCTCGGCCATCTCTCACTCCTGGGGCTGAAGCTATTGCTGTGCTCAATGCCAGGCCTGGGGTCAATGGAGCTGCAGGTGGCAGCTAATCTGAGAGGCTTTCCAGTCAGTCTGCAGCCTGTGGGGCACAGGAGGAATCCAAGGGCAGGGGGGCCTCCAGGCACCCCGCACTCGATTGGTTCTGGAGATGCTGCAGGACTGCTAGATGCCCAGGGTGAGTGAGCTCACCAGGCAGCTGCCAGCTCCTGTGGGCAGGAGCCATGGTTAGGGTGGCAGCTTTGAAAGCAGACTCTGGTACCCTCTTGGGCACAGGAAGGAGAGGGACAGGAGGGGAGTTATGCTGATGGAGTTCCAGATTCTATCCATCCTGAGAACGGCAGTTGGACCCCAGGCTGTCAAAGGTCTTTGTGCAGTATTGAGGATTGAACTCAGAGCTCATTTGCTAGGCAAGTGCTCTACCTCTTGGGCCATGTCCCTAGTCCCTTTACTTCTACTGTTAATTTTGCTTGAGACAACTTCCTTCCTTCCTTCCTTCTTTCAAATAGCTGGGATTATAGGCATGTGCCACCACACTTAAACCTGTCTAAGATCTTAATGTCCTCCTCATCTTCTTCTCCTTTGGTGATTCTGTTTGTGTTTTTGGTACCATCCTAGATAACAAATGATAGATGACCTAGTAAAGCCAAGTGGTTAAATCATATGTTGTAGAGGGCACAGTCTGGGTTTGGCTCAAAGAATAGTCTTTTCTAGCTATGTGACCTTAGGAAAATAGCTTCTCTGAATCTTTGGCCACTGGGGATCATAGCTACACTCATTCTGTTTGGAAGGAGACGTGATATAATGTGCCTTGATCACTGAAGACAAATTGTTGTTCCTTCCTGGTGTGTGTGCCTGTGTGTGTGTTGCAATGAGCACTCAGGAAACAACTGATTTTACAGATGAGAAAATTCTTAGGCCCAGGGAGACCAAGACACACAGAAGATGGATGGACACACCAGGACCTTCAGACTCCAAATTCAGTGCTCATTCTACCATGCCATTGTCTGCCAGTGCACAATGCGCTTGTTGACAGAGTAGGTTCCCATCCTGTATTGTGTGCTCAAAAACAACCACAACAACAAATCCAGCACAGACGCAGCATAGCCCTCCCCCCAATCCCCTCCTCCCCCACTGCTAGATGGGAAAGTGAAGGCCTGCTAACTGGGGGACTACTAGTCTATTCCAGATACAAATGCTGGCTGGGGTGCCCTAGCCCACCCTGGCTGCTGAAGCCAGAAGCTATAGGCCTGGCAGCCGTGGGGCTGGTCTCTGGCTAGGAGAGGCCCAGCAGGTGGTCTTCCTCCTTGGCTCAGCATTTTGTAGAACAGCAGGAGAGGGGAAGGGAGGTTTGGGGAATAAGGCTGGCAAGAAGAAAAGCAGTGTTCAGCAAGGGGACAAGCATGGCTGACCCTCCTGGTCCCTCCCTCCCCAGGGGCTGTCAACCAAGGAACGGTGGGGCCACAGACGCCTCCTGGCAGCCTCTTACACCCACTAGTTCACTTGGGAGACCCTTGGCCATAAGTCCCGACTGTTATGAGAAGGGCTGAGGGGGCCTTTGCAGGTTCGAACCCATTCCACAGCAGAGCGCAGGGTGAGACACGAGGGCTTAGAGGGAGGTTGGGGACAGGGCTGGGTAGCTGAGCCTGGAGCAGGCGCCAGCAGACCTGGTACTCCTGCTGGTGCTGGGGAGATCACCACCCACACTGCTCCAAGGCTGCCAGGCCTGGGCCAGCGCGCCTCCAAACCAAAGCCACGCAGGTTTGGCTGCAGTTTTAAAAAGAGACCTACTCCGTTCTCTAGTACCTGATTTCTTTTCTTTTTTTTTCCCTTCCCTTTCCCTCCCTTCCCCCCCCCCTTTTTGTGCCAATGCTAGGGCTTGAACTCAGGACCTGAGCATCATCCCTTAGTGTTTTTGCTCAAGGCTGCCACTCTACCACTTGAGCCATGGTGGCTTTTTGGTGATTAACTAGTGATCAGAGTCTCACGGGCCTGGGCTGGCTTTAAACCACACTCCTCAGATCTTAGCCTCCTGAGTTGCTATTGCAGGTGTGAGCCACAGATTTCTGATCTGATCCCAGACCTGTACTGGAATGTGCTAGAAAAGTCAAGTTTACCAGAAAGACAGGTTCTGTGTTAACCTTCACGCACTCCCGCCTAAATTGTACTACACATCTATCTAGCCGCCATGTCTCATGAAACCCTCACAGGGCTGGAAGGGGTGGGGTGGGGTACTGTCTCCCCTCCTTTGTCACGTGAAGACAAGGCTCAGAGAAGGCTTCAGATTTCCCCAGGTCACACAGCTGGTGAATGCAGGTGCTAGAATCTGAACTGAGCACCCCCCCCCCCGCCAGCTGTCACTCTGTGCCTTTTTATCTACAGGTTCGAGGCCCTCCTCCTCCATGATGCTGAGTGACAGGTGAGTCTGGACCCTGGGGGGCTTCTCAGAAGCCAATCCTTCACAGGCATGCAGGCCCCTCTCAGGGTGCCCACATCGGCTCCAGCCAGTGCCCAGACCCAGAGTGGCAGCAGGTCACCCCATATCAGTTCACCCACATGGGGACAGAGTCCAGAGAGCTGAACTCAAAAGGCACGGCTCCCTGACTTGCAGCCCCCCCCCCCAGCCCCACAGCTGCCCTCCCTCCTTCCCCGACTCCCTCCTGGGCTAGCACCCAGCCCCAGAGCAGGTGACAGAGTTGCCAGGGTCTTACTTCGCAGCCGGGTCCTCAGGAAGGAAAGTCAGGAGAAGTCACTGCCGGGTGGCTGGGCTGAGCACTCCAGCAACTCCCCGCCAGCAGGGTCCGCCTCCAAGGGGCGGTTCTTAAACCCCTGGGGATAGGGAGGCAGCTTCGCATTCCTGTTTATTCTGGTATCAATAAAAAGGAACTGTTGCTATAGTAACGGCTATTTCGCTTGGTACTCAGCCACGATGTGGGACACCATGTCCAAGCCACCCGTTTGAGAGGCACAAATAAATACCCACTTGCTCAGATGGATGCGGACTTAGGAACATGCCAAGCTTTGTTCTGAGCCAGCCCCATGGGGGCAGGGAGAGGGGAGGGGGAGGCATTTCCCCTGTTTCTGATGGCAGGGTCAGGCCACAGAGGATTCCAGAACATGGAGGGGAAGCCAGGCTTCCGGCTGTGGTGATGAATTCCTCAGGACAAAATGTCTCTTGGGGTGCAGTGTGTGTGTGTATGGGTTGGAGAGGGGAGGCAGGAAAGGAGCTATATAGCACTGACTCAGTGCTCTGTCAGCTGCTAACGGATGGAGAACTTGTATGTGTATGGAGTTAACTGGACTTGAACTCCAGACCTAGGAGCTGTCTCTTAGCTTTGTTGCTCAAGCCTGGTACTCCACCACTTGAACCTCAGCTTCTACTTCTGGCTTTTTCGTGGCTAACTGGAGATCACTGTCCCTTAGATTTTTCATACTTAGGCTGTGGTTTTGCACCGTGATCCTCAGATCTCAGCCTCCTGAGTAGCTGAGATTACAGGTGTGAGCCACTTATGTATGCCTGGCTGGATTGAAAACTGGGTACATGTGAACTCTAGGAATGTCTCTGAGGAATGAGGGGAGTGAGTAGCAGCTGATGGAGTCTGGGTCACCCTGGCTTTAGTGATCATTCGGTGGTCACTCAGTGTCCCCCGCCGCCCCCCCCCCCGCCCCCCTGCCCAGGTGGAGAATGGCAGTAGAGCCTGCAGGGGGCGGGACTTCCCTGCAGAGAGGTCTGTGTTCTGTGTTCCAGGGCAGGGCCCTGGCGTGCAGCTCTGCCTGGCACCCTTGGGCCACACTTACTGGCTAATGTGAACATGTTTGAGTGAAAATAAATCTCGTGTGAAGACCTGCAAGGCTGACACAGGGGCTTGCGGCGAATGCAGCCTTCTTCCTGATTTCAGAACCAGTGTGTTCTCTAACCTCTTGGCATTGTCCTTGGTCCCCCAGGGGCTTCCCCTCCGGACCCCACTAGCATCTACCAGCTAAACTTTACTTCCTCACTGAGTCTTGGTTGTGGGGAAAGGGGATGAGGCCCAGGACACACATCAAACTGGAATGCACAAAGGTCATTTCATGCTCTCTTTGCCCGAGGTGTTCTCTGCGCAAACACTCTCTGAGTAGTGGGCTGTGTTCCTGCTATTGTCCCTGTGTGAAAAGGCAGATGAAAATCTTGGCCCTCGGGAAACAGGTCTTCAGGAGGGGACTTACGCAATAAATAAGCAGATGCATGTAAAGAACTCCTCAGCCTGCCAGGCCTGCTGGGACACTGTGGGGGAGGCTGACTCACAAAAACCCTGTCATGGGGGGCTGGGAAGGTGGCTCAGTGGTAGAGCGCTTGCCTCGTATGCATGAGGCCCTGGGTTCGATTCCTTAGCACCACATAAGCAGAAAAAAGCTGAAAGTGGTGCTGTGGCTCAAGTGGTAGAGTGCTGGCCTTGAGCTGAAGAGCTGAGGGACAGCGCCCAGGCCCAGAGTTCAGGCCCCATGGCCGACCAAAACCCAAAAGAACAACCTTGTCATGGGACAGACTTGCAGAAGGAGAGGTCTTAGGGAGGGGGAGAGCTAGTTGCAAGTAGGAATGAGCTGGGTCTGAGGGAGGAAGGCTGTGTGGCTGCCATGTGGACAGCATGTTGGAAGGCAGGGCTAAAGGAAAGGGTTGGACCGTTCTGGAGTCACTCAAATTGAGAGGATTACAGGTTTGCAGGCAGAAACCGCCCTCACTTCCAAGACAAAAAATCAGTACATACATAGGGAACCAATGTGGAGGGGCCAGGCATGGTGTCTCCCACGTGTAATCTCAGCTACTTGGGAGGCAGAGACTGGGAGGATCTCAGTTGGAGGCCAGTCTGGACAAAAGGTATAGAGACCCATACGTCAAAGAACAAAGGTGGGCATGATAGCTCATGCCTGTGATCCCAGCTTGTATGGGAGGCAGAAGTAGGAAAATGTAGTCTGAGTCTGACCCTAGGGGGGAAAATTGTGCAATTCTATCTGAAAAATAAAAGCAAAAAATGGATGGTGGCTTGGTTCAAATGGTAGAACACCTGCCTAGCAAGTGCAAAGCTCTGAGTTATATTCCAGGGCCCAGAAATGCCAAAGGGAAGGAGCATCCTGAAGATCAGGAGAGGCATTTGTGTGTGTGTGTGGGGGGGGGGAGTAATAGTTAGGGAAAATTTCTGTATTTATTGAGGGCTGGGGCTTCCATTTGTAGGAAATAAACCTCCCAGAACAATTTTCCTTTCATTTTTGTCCCCTTTTCTCCAAGCTGACAGGCTCTTGGAGCCGCTTCTATGTGCCTGCAGACATCAGAGGAAAAGTTTCCATAGCAATTTGAGACTTCGTCCTCAGGCCTGTATTCGGTCTACATCCTCAAGGTTTCAATGAGGTTTCTGAGAAGCCAGGCACAAAACAGCCCTAGGATCAAACCCCACTCCACCTCCAAATCACCCCAACCATGCCCTGCTGGAAAGACCCAGGGAGAAAAGAGGCTGTGTTGGCAGGAGAGCGTGTCCTGGGATCCCTGGAGAGATGACGAATGGACTGAGAGTGGCCCTTACAACAAGTTTGAATGAGGAGGCTGTTACCCTGGCCAGGGACTTCGAGCGTGAACACTGGGGAGAAGGAAGGCAGGAAGGAGCCAGAGTCCTGGCTCCCAACCCAGCTGCTATGACATGGCCTGGGAGTTGCTGCAAGATGTTGGGTGCTCCTTACTTTGTGTACATTTAAAATATCTTGCAGCTAGACCAGCAGGACAGTGGAGCTAGTGTGTGTGTATAAAAAATACTTTGTGTGTGTGTGTGTGTGTGAACAGTAAACTGCTACTTGTTGTTTATCTGAGATTCGAATTTCTTTGGTGACCCTTTTTCTTTTCGGGCAGTTCTCCAGGGTGTGTGGAGGGCTGGAGGCTGAGCCTGCCCCCTGGTGGCAGAAGGCAGTAAGGCACCAGGGAGGCACCCTATAGTCCAGGTTGGAGAGTCCTGAGCTCCCCTACCAAGAACCCAGCCTGAGGTCCAGGTGGGGAGGAGGGATGCCCCTCAGGTGGACTTTTACTACAGGCCATGTAGCACTTCAGGTGCACAGTTATCCACAGAGTAGAGTCTCCCAGCCTAGGGACTAAGCTTGTGGGTCTGGTGTCCACTCAGATGCCAGTCATGGCTTTACTGAGGGACAGATAGGTGACTTTCCAAACTCTGTCTCCTCATCTCTAAAAAGGGTGGGTGTTCTTTTGAAGTACACTGGCTATGGAAATCCCTGCCCTGGGTGGGGCAGCAGCCTATGTGGCAGCTATGATCTTAACCCCTGTAAGATCATTTTCACTGAAGTGAGGAAAATGGGATTACAGCCTCAACAGTGGCAAGCAGACATCCAGTGTTACAACTGGCTGCTTGTGCCTACTCGAATTATTGGCTAGGTATCCCCTCTTTATTCTCAACTCCCCGAATCTGTATGCCAGCATATGCCACTTTAAGGTTAAAAATCACTTGGAAGTAATTTGTGATGGGCCTTTTTCTTTCCTTTCTGTGTTTGTGTGAACTCAGGGTCTGGGCGTTGTCTGTTATTTTATTTCATTTCATTTTTAGTCAGTCGTGGGGCCTGAACTCTGAGCCTGGGCGCTGTCCCTCAGCTCTTCAGCTCAAGGCTAGCGCCCTACCACTTGAGCCACAGCACCACTTCCAGCTTTTTCTGCTTATGTGGGGCTGAGGAATCGAACCCAGGGCCTCATGCATGCAAAGCAAGCACTCGACCACTGAGCCACCTTCCCAGCCCCATCTGTTAGCTTTTTTTGCACAAGGTAAAAGCTCTCACATGAGCCATAACTCCAGGCTTGGATTCAAAATGAGATTCTCAGATCTCAGCCTCCTGAGTATCTAGGCTAACAAGCATGCGCCCTACCAGAGGAGCTGGGCCTTTTTCTAATAGTATAGTATGACTGGGTGCCTGGCTCAGGGCCACCATCAGTGAAGCTGACGGCCATCTTCGATTGGATTCTATACCGCCCTCCTTGGGGACTTCTGCAGGGATGCAGTGCCACTGCTGCTTCACCAAGCCACCCCCACATCTCACTTCTGTTGTGGTTTTTAATTGTTGTTATTAAGGAGTGGTACAGAGCGGTTACTGTTTCATGAGTCAGGTAATAAGTACTTTGGGGGGGGACAATGTCACCCTTTCCTTCGCTTTCCCCTAGTTTCCCCTTCCCATCCCTGCCCACCCCTCTCACTTCTTGCTCCTCCTTGGATGAGACAACAGAGGGCAGGTTCCAGAGGCCCACGGCTCTAGGTTTGAATCTCAGCGTCACCCCTGATGAGCTGCGTGGCCTTAGGCAAGCTATGGGACCTATTTCCAATGAGGGTTAACATGAGCATCCACCTTCCTTATAGTACATGACCCTGCCTTTTGTGAGATCTTGTTGGTAACGAAGGCCAATAAATATGAGCTGAGTGAACGGAGCTGGTGGGATTTGGCAGGTGACAAAAACCCATGAACAGCCGTTGCTTGCCATTATTATTATTATCATCCTCAGAGGATGGGCAGGCTTTGGCATAGGTGAGTGAACCCAGTTTGGATGTGAGTTCTACCCTTGGTGGGGTGGCAAAGTTTCCTTAGCAGACCAGGGGCAAGTTGTGCTGGCTCTGTGGGCTTCGAGCCCTCTTCTAGTAAATGGAAATGACAATTCAGTGTCCTTGTGTCATGGGGACAGCACACAAGTGTCAATAGTAGGTCCTCCATTAAGGTACCACCCACCCCTTCCAGGAGGCTTCTACCTCTTTCCTTCTACCTCTTTCATCTGCTATTCTGG